GGGGCGAAGTGCTGGAGTGGTGAGCGAGGTGGTCTTGAGTTCGGATAGAGGTGTATCCCGAACTGCCATGGGGCAGGCCAATTCGGGTTGTTGCCCTTTGTGTTTGTAAGGCTCGGGGCCAAAGGGAGAGCTCGGGCTCCTTGCAGGGAGTTCGGACCGCTGGTTCCTCCTTTCGAAAATCGCGCCTCGAACGCACTATTGTGCAGTTCGCCTTTGCCACGTATTGGATGATTACGAGGTCGGGCCAAATCTTCCTTCATCACTAATAAAAAAAATCAAAATGAGGCTTAAAACACGATTTGATTATTTGAAGCCTCAGTTGAACTTTTCCCTCCCATGTTTTCATCTGAGCCCTATCCCTATCCTATGACCAGACCCCTAGCAAAACCCTTGTGCAACCTACATCCGATTAAGTAGGATCAACCGGTGGTAAGCTGCTGCTGCTTCTTTTTCTTCTTCGTATTTTATTTGCAAACTAACTTCTTAAGTTCTTATTATTATTTTTTTTTTTGTTTTCTTTTTAATGGCTCAAAGCCGCAGTTATACCCTGAAGTCCTTCCTCTCTGAACTTCAAATCTGCGGCACTCTGATCTCCAAAATCGAAACCCCAAAATATGAATCAATTTAAAGATATATCGGAAGGTGTCAATTATGTGTCTACAATTTAAAGATTTTTCGCAAGGTGTCAATTATGCACAATGTAAGTTTATCTCATGAACCCACTACTTTTATATCAAAAAGTATTTCTGACTTGTAATGGTATAAAATGTCTATTTTCAATTGTGAATGGCAAATGGCTTTGCACAGCACCACATGTAGACTCTACTTCAAATCTGTATCTTTATGATTGATTCCTACAAAAGAACTAATGTTTCTGCTGCTGGTCTGTATGTTTTAGTTCTATTGGAAGATTTAGAAAAAAATAATAAAGGGATAGAAGTGTTGCCATAACCGTTTGATTGATCTGTAAGATTCAAGATGATTTGTTGATTGGACAAAAAAAAAACACTTAACAACAAATTCCCATTATCCTATATTAACCAATAAGCATGCATTTGGAAATTGACAACACTGATCTTAACCATGAACCATCTGAATCAATGAATCATGTGGTTGGGACAAGGATTATATGAGTTGAGTTTGCTGAAAGAAGTGATTGTTCTGGAAAAAAAAATTCTTGCCCCTTTGCTTCTGGAAAAAGATGAAACACGATGAAAGTCACAACAATATGCATCCACAAGCCCAAGGAGCCCAACTATGGCTCTTGGATTGACTGCATTCATATCCCTTTTGGTCACACAAGTTATTATTGATGTTGCAGGTTGGGTGCGTTTGTTGTTGAAAAACTTCACCTAATTCAAATTCCAATTGCTCATTGGCTTTGGTTTGCTTTGTTGTTTCATGGCAAGGTTCAAAATATCGATACGCCCGATACACCGGTAGGGGCATATCGGGCAAATCAATACACATTTTGGTCCCTTTTTTTATATTTTTTTTACAATCGGTTCAGGGGGGATGGTTTAGGTCTCCTCTACCCCCTGAACCGGTCAGACATCTGATACACTCACTGCAGGAACATATCAGAGGGGTCCTAAAACGATACATATCGGCCGATACGGACCGATACGTGTTGATACTTTAAACCTTGTTTCATGGTACATTGTTTGAATTACCATTTGGCTGCTTTTGATGTTATTCTTCTAAAGTTTCCTTCTAGTTCATGTTATCTTCTCTACTCTTGCATATAGCATCTCATCCAAATGGACTTATAGTATCAAAGGCTTAGCCAAAACAACATTATTTTGGGCTCCAATTGTGAATTAATGGTTTAGTCCATGCTTTGAAAGATATTGGAACTGCAACTTGACTTGCATTCAAGGATATTAGTTATGTTCTTTTAGGTTCATCCAGCTATCATTCCCTGTTCATGACACAAAAGCTCAAAAATTTGGAATGATACTTATCTCAGTTTGACAATGAAAACAAGCTTGCATTTGGTTCATTACATGGAGAGCATAATCATGGGCTCCAGCATTTCTAGAACCCTATCTTCAGGGCATTGAAAGATCTATGGAAGAGAGATTCCAGCATGATAGCACCATCTTCTACTATAAGATCACAAAACATATCACCTCAGTTTTTACCTTCCCCTTTCAGGTTGTTTTTAATGCATATGGCATGGATTGGCTAAACCAACTTTCATATGCGTGCATGTGCATGCGCATGTATATGAATATATTTATGAATTTTGTTTTCGTTGTGTGTGTGTGTGTGTGTTTTGTTGTGGTTTGTAGGCTTGTAAAACCAAAAAATGATCTTAGCACTAAAATGTGAATTAGAACAATTGGTAAAACAAAATGTATTTTCCTACCAGGATCATTTTGAAATGAATTGATTCGTGCATGTTATCATCATTCAGGTTCACATTTGTTAAAGCATTTCTCCTGTTACTAATGGTGAGGAGAGCATGTACTCTGGCAGGCAATGCTATGTAGTAAAACCTGGGGTCTTTGAAAGAGGTGTCATCTTGTCACCAGCAAGTGTTGCCCTTGGTTCTCTTTATTATCTCACCTTAACGTCTGGAAAGAGCAGGGCTGAACGATGGGGAGGTGTTTCCAATCCTAATCAAGGAGACAACCTCAGTTTCCACCTCAAACAATGCAAGAACCAGTTTTTGTGCATGAAGACACGTATAATAGATGGCAATTTCCTTGATGTCTAGATGAAACGTTTCTTCTCTGAGAACTTGTGGGAAATTTTTGCAATTGGGAGTCTCCTTTGTTGGATCTGTATAGTGTTAGGATTCCGGAGATGCAAGAAATACTTGTTGTATTTTCCTTTATTTGTATTATTTTTCTTCTTGTGAGCTATAATTCTATTCTTATACATATTGTATTTTTATTGACTTGATGGATGATATATAGAGAGACAAGATAAGTTCCCTGATCATGACTGTCTGTCATTTGAGAATAGTCTTTACATTTTGTGAACAAAGAATTTAAAATTGGTTTAACAGGCTCTAGAAGATTGACATTGCAACACTTGTTGGATAGATTCAGATGTCTTAAATATAAATGTTTAGCACATGATGCTTGGGCTCATCTTGAATGAGGTTGAGAACTGAGCTGTCTTAAATATAAATGTTATTCGGCCTTTTTGCGCTCAACACGCATATAGAGCTGATTTGGAAGGTAAAGCCATGAAAAAGCATTATAAATTTATAATGAAGGGGTCGATCAAGAACCTATTATTAATTCTCGACAAGCAAAATCTTTGATTGGTCGATTATTCAATATGTGAAATCCCACCCCGATGAAAGAAGGCAAATATTGTCATTCCCCAATCCCCATCCATTTTTTCGTTGCAAGGCATAGGTAGATTACGGAAAATGGTATCTTTCTTGCAGTGTTTACCAATTTCAACCAGTACAAATAAAAACGTCAATACAACGAGGTTAAAAAAAAAAAAAAAAAACTGCACAATCAACAATATGATGGGCAGCAGCCAGCATTTACAAGCCCTTCCTCAGTACGTTTTTTTAAAGCAGCAACAATATGTATTGCTTTCTCATATATTGAGACACGTTGATGGCTAACCTGAAAATTAAAAGCTTTTTTAGTAAATTGAATTTTACGAATGCAGAAATAACCTAGATTTATGACGACATGAAACCCTAGCCATTTGGAGGTCAGGGTAGAACCATTCGAAACGAAAAAAAAAATAATAAGAAGAACAAGAACAAGAGCAGGAGAGGAGGAAGAGGAGCTTACCGTCGGTCACCGGTTGATCCCTTCCAGTCGGACGTTAGTTGTTGACCGCCGGTGGTCTGGCGCCTCTAGGTACTGGTTAGGATTTGGTTGAGTGGAGGTGGGAGGGGAGTTTGAATGAGAGAGGGGAATCATTCTTTGAAGCTTCAAATGGGGTTTTATCTGTTTGTTGTCTTTTAATGGCAGGTTAAACCGGCAATTTAACCGTTAACATTCCAGTTCCGTTAAGTTTGTGTTAAGACCCATTAAATGACGTGTACATTTCTGATTGGAGGGTCCTCGCTCCCCGTGAACCGATGGGTTCACTGAATTCTATATGAACACTGTGGTTCTTTCTAGTCCAGTAAGATGAGGCTTTCACGAGCCACCAGGCCCACCACCAAAAACCAGTCAAAGACAATTTGTCTCATAAACATATGAAAGATGCGCATGCACCATGCATCAAACCTTCTAGGGTTGTGTCACTTGTGTGTACTAATCCTTTAATAGTGGTGTCTTGCCTGAAATCTTGACCATTTTCTCTGGTCGTTCATTGTTCTGTTCCTATAAGCCATCAGATTAATAGCCTTTGGATGAACAGAGGCGAGAGACACTGAAAATGGTTCGTACTTCGTAGTTTTGGTAATTCCAGACTCTGTTTCTCAGTAAATTTTCAGTTGCTCTGCACATTGACTCGATCAACATTTTTTTGGTTGGATACATATTGGAGTGCGGAGTGAATCAAAAGATACTATAAAGTAAAACCAGTTTAAGCCGTATGGGCCATTGGTGTGGGATAGAAATAATGGTAAACCAGTTTAAGTCGGATGGGTCATGGATGTGGGGCAGACAAGGAACCTACTGCACAGCATGGCAAGGGTACTTCGGTAAGTTACAATATACTTACAAAATACCCTTAGAGAGGCCATGTGCCCTTTTTTCTGATAAGTGTCCAATGTCCTTTTTGTCTTATTTTTAACGATTCATATGACCACTTCACAAGACAAGTTGAGAACCTTAATGGATCCCTTAAGTTGTCCCAAATAACATAACAGCTCGTTTTGAGGTCCTACTTTGTTACAGTTTTTTTTTTTCTTTTTTACCGATTTACTCTCTCTTTCTCTCTCTCTCTCTCCTTAGCAGAAAGTTGAGGACCCAATACCCATACCTTATTCAGATGGCCGAGCAGGGGCATCAAAGTGATTTTGGTACCAAAACAAAATCATACAACATTGCAGTCCATTTCATGCCTCGCATCCAATGTGCTCATTTAATGTCAATATTCACTCTTCCACACGATCCAAGAACAACATCAATATATTTCTTACCAATTTCTCAAACCATTCATGCCAACAAGGTAGGTAGCTCAAGACCTAAAACAATTACAAACTACCACAGCATCCAATGCAATGTTCAAACAGATAAATAGTTGACTCACAAGGCTCTTCTATCAGTATTCTTAAATCCGGATGCACCCAGAAGCAAGGAGAAATATCAGCAACTGCGAACGCTGTTGTCTTCAAATATGTGCATGCCCATATTTCTATGTTTCTGAATATCCCAGCGTATAGAAATTTGGACCATGCCCCAAAATTCATAGGGTTCCTATTTATTTGATTATTATTGTATGAACAGTTAAAGGAGAAGTTCAAAAAAAACGCAAATAGATAATTCAATCCGATTAAATTACCTCGTTCCAGATAATCTTCAGCCAACTGGTTATGCATAGCCACTCTGCCAATCAAATGGCACAGTTTAACTGAAATCACGGGAAGAAAATATTGATTAAAAAACCTATGACCTTGTACAAGGAAAGGCAGAAAAAATGGATGACCCAAATTGAAGTGAACTTATACCTTAATTTCTGGCAATATTCAACAGATTCGTTCTGAAAGGCCACTACCATAATGTCTGTTGCCAATCAAATTGTGCAATATTTGTATGCTTCTAGTTACACTATCAAATGGTAGACCAATGACTTCGGGACCCCAAAGTCTCAAACCTGAATTAATGAGTCAAGCCCATCATAAATTGGGAAAAAGTCCTGCATTACATAACCATTCTTGACCAACCTGGCAACCCTGGCCAGTGATGATGATAAATATAAGAACGGGAAGAAATAAATAATGATAATGATTGGGTAAGTGCAATTTCCCAGGTTACCTATCCAGCATCCAAGGTTATTATTTCTCTTGCTGATGACAGAGCTCTTGAAACCTTGTGAAGCTGCAAGGAGCAACTCAAAAGTGCTTATGTTTTCAGCCAAATGGACTAAACATTGAGGCATATTAAAAAGATGAGAAAGTTGCATAGGTTAGTCAACAATGAATGTGTAATGACCATCTGTCAGACCCCTGGCTATTCTTGAAAGGCTTGAGAAGCTTTGAGACCCATGAAACAAATACATACACAGTAAGTAGTGAAACCATGGTTAACCAAAAAAGTCATAGCATATAATATCTGAAGTAAAATGATGGATCATTTAGATAATGAGGTGAAATAACATCAAATAGGTGTCTTTCCTACCAACTAACTTTACCCCTAGGCCCTAGCCAGGGAGTACAAATAAGCCAGTTGCCTAAATTCAATTCAACTAGGCAACAAGCATAGTTCCCCAAGTTCAATTATGCAACAATCAAGCCAAAGTCTTTTTTGTCAATTAGGAAAAAGTACATTGCAATGGTTTAGCAAAAAAAAAAAAGTGCATCGAGTTCGCCAGTGAGATGAAATGGTCTGGTGCAAGTTGAGGGTGTTAAAAGACAAGGTTAAAAGGAAAACTTATGATTGTGATGATGACAATAATAATTTTGAAAAAATAGCTTGGCAGGCATGATAGTAAAATGCCTTCATTTGTTATAGCTTTTTGTTGTGAAAATTAGTATAGTTTGGTTATTAAAACATGGCACTTCAGAATCACATAGGCATGCCTTCATAACTTCATGCCCTGGCTTACGACTTTCCTAGTTGCATCCTACATTTCCCAGGAACCCACCCTATTACCATCAAAGTGGGTCAAAATGTTGATTGTTGGGACAGTGAAAGAATTTAGTTTCAAAATATAAGATATGGTAAAATACCAAAAGACAGCCAGAGTGAAAACTCCAACGAAAATCATTATAAAAGGGATTATTAGAAGAAAGGAACACACCTTCTCAGGAGTGCTGAAGGATTATATGGAAACAAGTTCTTATGATGAAGGCTTTCCACACATCTTTTTAAAGAAAGCAAACAATCTTTGGCATTTTCAAAAGGCTGTTGTGAGGTGCAAAATCGCTTGTTGCCATGATTATGGTGTCTCTTATGTTCTTTCTCAAGTGTTCCAAGAGTTTCTCCCTTTTTCATTGGTGAAACTGAAATATCTGCCTTATAATGAGAATCTGAACCATCTAGGAGGACCTTTCTTTTCTTGCAAGACAGTTGGATTATTTCATTCTGACACATGGAAAAGTCTACAAACAAATTCCATGATCTGAATACCAAACGAAGGCACCTAAAAGGAGAAATTTTAAACAAAAAAAAAAAGAGGTCAGGACTTCGGAGGTTACAGGAAAGTAATACAGGTTTGCAGAAGTACCTCCCTTATAAGCATATATAAGCAACTAAACATAATGGTTACATGACAAGGAAAAAAGAGGTCATTATGAATACAAATTTTAAATAAAGAACCAATAAACCAGGAAAATGGGGAAAAAAGCAAGTTAGGAGTTCCAACAAGTACTGGAAAATAATATAAGAAAAAGAGAAGGGAACTAAAAGCAACTGAGATGATACCTCAAAAGATATTGTACACAATTAACCCCAATATCTTTTGAAATGAGGTAATCAAGAAGCACTGAATGATCATAGTGTAACTGCAAACAAAGAGCAGTTCGCTGTATTATTTTTCTACCAAAAAGAATCAAAATAAAAAAGGAAGATATCCTGTCACCAAATATTAAAAAATCAAGACATAGCATGAAATGACATCTATTGAAGCATCAACTTAATGGCATCATGGAATTCAGTCTTAGGGACCATTACTTGGTATAATGATAAAATCTCAGGCTGTCAAGTATGAGAATGCAGGTTTAAATCTGAGAGCAGCCACTTTGTGCAAAAAATGCCAATGGTTATGACCATAGCAGTCTACCCTTCCCAAGACCCCAGATAGCTAGGACCAACATTTGGTAATGGCCTTTTATCATGGCATTGAGTCTTAATTCATATTTCCTTAACAAATGGAGGAAACATTGACAAATTGGAACAGCACATTATAGTTTAATATTCAACTCAACTAGGTGAAAACAAGCAGACAGCAAAGACAGACTACAAGGTAATTAAAATATAAAAAGTACTGGAGTTTTAATTTATTAAATATGCAATGAAAACCTAACTAACATCATGTAAATTGGCTGTTATGTAGAAGTACACCTCAAGAATATATAGTATGTCATTTCTCTCAGCTCAAATAGAGTAGTGTTGATGGGGTTACATTTAGTATTGATGTAAGATGGGCTCACCACTCTTCCAAGGTCTTTGAAGGTTTGTCTTAGGTGAGGGCCTTGCCTTCCCCTTCCAGATTGAACATCTACTGTGAACCCAAGGCAAGCCAAAACCTTGGTGAATGACCTAAGCCATACAGGGAACTTGAGGGAGGAGATGTTTGCCAGGTATGCAATGCAAACTCAGTTATTGTAATCATCCATTCCACCCCCATTTTTTCAATTCAATTTCATTACTCATTTTTTATAAAGTTATAAAAAATTTGTTTTATAGATTAAAAAACAAAAAAAAAACAAAAGACAAACCATAGGGTATGATATGTACACCTTTGCAAGAAACAAATGGAAAAGATGTATAGGGTTGAAAATGTTCAAGACATGGTAGATGATGTCTCCTTTTGCCTCATGAATAGCATTGCACCTATCATTCCAATCCCTGCATAGTTCAATATATCTTACTAAGTAGAATTCTTGCACTAGTCTAGGTTGCTATCACAAGTAAAAAGATAAGAAAGGTTTGTTCATACACTTGCTCCAAAGGAAATGGTAGGGCCAGCAGTTGCAGGAGCACTTCAAACAAGATATCATCCTACAATTTAAGAGCAAACTAAGAAAGTTGTTTAGATGGAAAGGCCTAAACAAGAACAATTTAAGAGGAAGACAATAAAGTTGTTTAATATAGGAAATTTTAAATAAAGATAAAAATACTAAATAGAAAACCCATCAGAGGCACAAAAGAGCCTATAAAAACATGGTCTAATCGAACTAGTCAAACCAAGCATAGGCAGAACTACCTATAAAGAATAGGTTGAATCTAAATATCTAACAAAACAGTGGCCTCCCAAAGCAGAACTACCTACAAAAGATACCTTTTCTTTCTTGTACTTTTTCCATTTTATGTATTTTCCTTTCTTTCCTGCAGCTATTAATTATATTAGATAGAAGTTCAATAAGATAAACACATCTACGCCCTCCAAAGAAGAAAACAACATGAATCCTCAAAAGATTTCCCTACATTTTAACAACTACGCATCAAATGGAAAGAACTGTATACCTCATCAACATATAGCTGCATGAAGGATGATGCAAAGATGCTGCATTTTTCTGAGTATATTCCATAATCTACAAACATTTCCAAAGGCAAATGGTCTTGAAGCCATTCAGAAATTTCAGACAAACCCTTCCTTTTGCCAGAACATTCCTGGCCAGATTTTAACTCATGTGTCAAACAAGAATTTGAAGATGCACAGACACATCTAATATCTGTTTCTTTTCCAAAGCCAACCAAACTGAAGGAACACTTGAGGAAAAGGAAAATAGCTTGCCTCTGTAAATGGCGAGTATGTATCTTATGTACTCCATCAGCGATACTCGCCAAGAATGGAGAGCCTTCTAGGCTATCATCAAAACCAGAATCATATGCAGATATAGGTTGCACTAAAAGATCTTGAAAGTGTCTTCGAAGCAACTGCAACCACAGAACTAGGGTGGAACATTCCCAATGAACTTGGAGAGTAAGCCTGGTCATTAGCATCTGCAGAATTGTTTTTAGCAGTCAAATTAGAATATATCTTTTAAACAGTAGTGCATCAAACTTGGATATAAGATGTTAGATAGGAATAAAAACCTAATTAATGATATGTATGAGGGTGCAACAACCTATGTTAGAACACCTGTAGGAGACATCAGATTCATTTACAATGGGCCTTCACCAAGGTTCAGCATTTACACTAATAAAAAATGAATTGATTAAACATGTTCAAGAGGAGGCATAGCACATGTTTGCTGATGACATTGTTTTAACTGATGAAACTAATGAACGATTAAATGCAAAATTAAGTTTATGGGGAAATTCCACAGAAAAAAAAAAGAGGTACTAAAATAAATAGGAATAAAGCAGAATATATACTATATAGATTTAATAATGATAATAATAATAACAATAATAATGATAACAACAACAACAACAATAATAAAAATAGGAGTGCAAATCAGAGTACACCTAGGGTTGGAAACATAGATAACCCGATGTGACCTTTTCTAGTACCTTGGTTCGATAATTCATAACAATGGAGAGATTGAGGAGGATGTCACTCATAGGATTAGAGCAGGATGGGCAAAATGGAGGGGTGCCTCCAAAGTCTTATGTGAAAGGTGAATACCACTAAGATTAAAAGGAAAATTATATGAAACAGTTGCAAGGCGGTAAGGCCAGCTATGCTATATAAAGAAAAGTGTTGTGCAGTCAAGAAATCACATGTCCGGAAAAAAAAAAGTGTGGAAAAAATGTGTATGTTGAAATGGATGAGTGGACTAAGATGGGTTGGTCATGTGCATAGACAACCATCAACAGCACCTGTAAGAAGTGACCTATTAGAAATGAAAGTGGCTAGACAGGCTAGGGGTAGACCAAAAAGGACATCGGTTGAAGTAGTAAGAAATGATTTCAGCACTCATAATTGAACAATGGATATGGCATTAAACAGAACAGAAAAGAAATCATGTAGTCAACCCAATATAGTTGGGATAAGGTTTGGGTGATGATGAAGAGGAGGGGGATACTTTTCCATAGGCATATCGACAAGGCCATGATTTCTCATCATGCTCATTCAAACTCTTGAACAAACATCAGATTCTGACTCATGTATCCTTTTTTTTTTCAGCATGCTGACTCATGTATCCTTGTCCATATAACACTCATAAAACCCAAATATAAAGGATGAGAAAGGGAACATGAGATCTACCATTTTGCATCTAATTTAACAACATCTCTTATATCAAACATACATCAAAATAAACAACTATTATATCAAGTATATAATTATCTTTTACCATAGAAAATGAAAGAAGTAAAGAAATGGAATGAGATGGTTATAATCCAAAAGAACAAGTATGCCTCTAAACAAAATCCAATTAATAGGTGAGTTACATCTCCCTGCATGTTCACCAGTACCAACAATTACATTCTAGCAGTAAATTGCCTAGGTTTTCACTAGACAACCCTAAATAGTTTATGTAATTTGGCAATCTCTCTAGTTTCAAGGGTTGTCAAGAAAACAGATAACATTGATGCTCACCAACATCTTGTGCCTCAAGTATTGCTGGATACACGCATTACCAGAATCCCATTTCACAGAGAAACACCAGTTCAAAATCTTAGGAATAAGGCATGTAATTTTATCAAGAAGAAGATGCTCATCCAAGGAGCAATGAATTTCTTCTACAAGACCACTTTGCTCAACGAGGGAACAGAAAAGTTGAAGAAGGCTCCCTAGAAACAAGAACCATGCCTCTGGAGAACAAATGTTTCTGAGCAGTGAAGCATTCCCATTAGAGCTTATCTGCATGTCATATGCCTGACCAGAATGAATCTTATCCAATAAATCCCAGGGCACATTTGAAAGACCATAACTGACGGAATGCAAGTATATTTCTGCAAGTTCACTGCTGCAGTTTTGCTTCAAATATTTCAATATATTGTGTAAAACTCTAGAAAGACAAGTCACCACATGCCAGTTAGCATTTACAAGTCTTGGTTGCAAGACTGAAATCAATCCCAATCCATCATTATTTGGGTCAGAAAGGGATGCTGATGAGGATGAAAGAATGTTAGAGATGACCACTTCTATGCAAACACATAACAAATGAAGAAAGTCACCAAAATTCCTGCCCTGCAAAATGTTTAGTGTTAAGTAGATAAATAACCAAGATTGAATGCACATTTAACCAAGAATTTCCAGGCAAACTATTGAATCATACAGATTTAGACACAAAATTGGAGATGCCCACAAGAATATTGCCCACCAAATGTTGAATGTATTGACTTTTCATATTTAAGAGGCCTACCTGTTTAAGAGAAAGGAGAAAGGAGAAAGGAGATCAGATGCACAAGATGCCATAAAATAAAGATAATGCACCATAGAACAACTAAGAAGCATATAAGAGACCATAAACAAAAGAGAAAGGAAAAGACCAAATATTGAAAGAAATACACATTTACTTTCTAGATCAAAAAGCGATATCACTCTTTCAGTAGTACAAATAAATCATTTATTCTCTAGCATAATATCACATAGTATGTGCCTCTAGTGGTAAAGCATTATCTGCCTTTGAGTAGGACACAGAAATCATTTCTGTTTTGAAAATCTATCATTATCTATAGTATCAAACAAGCTACCATAAGTCCTGTTTGAACTTCAAAGAATCTGTCTCCCAACATTTCCAAGCACACTTGAGTTGCACCCTGCCTCATTGAATGACAATATCATGAGGAGACCATAAACATGTTCCCCAAGTCATCCAATGAGAGATGGCATAGCATAATATTATTTAATTGGTGATCTCATCTTCTAACCATATTATTTTCGTAATCCCATTTCAACATTCCGTACCAGTTAATCATTCTACATTACTCCTCAAACAAGCAACTAATGATTCAATGAATCACAAATGTCCAGTAACAAGGGCTCTGTCTCTTGATAATTCATGGATAAAAATTTCATTAGAGAGTGGTGTTAAGGTGAATCGTGAACTTTAAAGTATCAGTAGTTTAGGAAGCCATTCCAATTTACATCCCCTCCCCTGCAATCCCCAAAAATGAGGAAATTCGGGAACTAAGGGTTTGTTGAGTTCGTGGCAATAGGGGTCTGGAATCAAATTTGGAATGGTCCATTCAGATTCCAAGCATTTTGTTGGGCAAAATCGGAATCCTATTCCTATTCCTGGTCGAATGGCATTCCCCCATTTGAGGAAATGGCCATTCCTCCCCCTCCTTGGCAATGAAAAACCAGTCCACCCAATTTCGATACTGATTCCAATTCCTGTCTGAACCAAACAGACAGGAGAATAGACCACTCTGATTCCTATTCTGAGGGATTTCTATTAAGGTTCCGACTGCGAATCAAATGGACCCTAAACTTAGTTGCTAAATTCTTCTACGCAAAGTACAAGCCGGTGAGCAAGGTAAAGGTATAGCACAAGTGTAAAATAAAATAAAATAAATCAGCCCATTTATGTGGTAACTTTACCAAGATAGATAATATCTCCAGGAAGCAGTTGTGACATTCAGAATACAACTCCGGTGCCGGAAAGCAATGACCACCAATAACAGGATTCAGAACAAGTGGCTGCTAGAAAGGTATTACCATAAGCAATTACATTAAATTTTCCATTCCAATAAAAACCCTATATAGTATCAATTTTCGCCTAAACAAGTTTTAAACAGAAACCTCTTAAAATAATAAAAGTTTTAAGCCGGCTGACCTTCCCGGAATCGCATTCGAGTTCATCTCCACAACGTTGAATTTCTCTTGAAACCTGAAAAAAGAACATATCAAAAACCGTAAACAAGGTCGCACAATCGAATCCAGCAATAAAGTTACGCCATAATGAGAAACCCAGAAGTAACAATCTACACTCTACAGAAGTGAAAACTGAAAGGGGGAAGAGGGGAGGGACCTGAGAGAGAACAATCAAAAGATGTTTCTCCTTTTCTTTGGTTAATTGAATTGGCTCCGATTCCTGCAACAACAGCAACAACAATAAGTGAAATTGGAGCTTTAACGGCGACAAGGCGGAAGTTACCACCTGAATAGCAGTGAAAAGAATGGACATCGTGGGAAAAACTGACGGTGTACGAACGGAGAGAGGCGTTGATCAGCCTGCACAGCCGCGAGTATTCGGAACTACAGCTCATCCTTTCTGACGCGGCAACAGCAAAAACTGTGATTGTTTCGCTCCCGGCAAGCGAATATACGACCAAAATCTGATGCTGTCTCGTTAGAAGTTGGCAAGCGCAGAAGCTTGAGCGTGCAAACAGGGGGAAATTTTTCGCTCCTTCAATTTAAGACGTAAGCCTCCATGAAAAGGATCTACTAATGGACACGTACCCAGTACCGCACATATTAGGGCTTGAGTTTTTTCCTCGGGCTGATGTTTAACTTGATTACGTGTCATTTCGGTATCAATTAGAATCCCTGGGATGGAACATCTCCCGATGATGTAGATGATAATATCAGAATGTTGATTCATCATCGGAGATGTTCCCAATACACGAAGTTGGACGTTGTTGGGGCAATTTTGAGGGGGCTGATTTGAATTCAGCATGGGACCCACATCTATATGGCAACTTTCTATTGTTAGAGGACAATAGAAGAACACGTGGGATCATTTTGGACCAAACTAATTTGCCACGTGGAAACTTTCTCGGTCGTTCAGCTTTCTTCGCATGCCCCGACTGGAGTGACTCCAATAAACGAGTTCAAATCTGCGTCCCACCGCCTCTCGCCCCACATATCGAGCGTCCGCCACCTGTTCATTCGCACGCGATCAGCATTCCCACGTGCGGGGCTAATCGGACGGCCATTAGCTTGTCCCGTTAGCCCAAAATCTCATTTCTACATTTCCGCCCCCTCATGCTTAAACTGGCCGTCCCCTGACCCCGTTCTTCTCCCCTCCACCCGAGCTCTCCTTCTCCAGCACCGGCGACCATTTCGGTGAGTTCACCTTGACCAGGTATCTGCAACCTGATTATCTACAAAATTCAGCGCTTTCTCTATTCCCTTCCAGCAGCTCTCCCCCGAATATATGCGGTTGTGATTTCCATTGCAGGGCTGACAGCCAGTAAAATGGGTGACGAAGGGGCGTCTCCAGCTCCCCCAACCGAACCCAGCCTCCTTCAGATATGGCTCCCTTAGCTGTGCATAGTAGCCGTTCACCTTCTCGGCATGTCACCTTCTCAGCTCCCCTGCACTTGTCTCAATCCCTGTGTACATGTCGCTAATCTTTTACAACATCTCCACAATCTCCAACCAACACCCTCTGAAGTAGTACTGGCTCTCCACGTAAATCTTATCCGCCCATTTCTCCTTCTGCTCCAGTGGTAAGTAAACCAGGCCAGACTAGTCGTCCGACTCCGCGTATACATTGTCCTTCAGGACTGATTTCTGGGTGTTCCTCCACTTGTCATAATCCGGTGCTTGGGGTCCCATGCTCGCCCACACGTCCATAAAGTCCATTGACCACTTGTCACGGAAACCCGTGCGGTGTCCAGGACAAGCTTATGCTTAGGGCTAGGAGTTGCCCGATGAGATGACTCTACCAAGGTCAGTAACACTGAATCGTGACCTCAAGGCTCATGGCCGAGGCACTCTGTTGGTTCTTATCGGTCCATGGGAGGCGCCATTTACATGCTAAAGGGAGGATGGCCATGATAAGAGACGACTTGGTGTCGATGTAAAGGGACTACTATATACTGATGATGTTGGGCACCTAAGTGCCAATGATGATAGGCAACTACTAGGTCATAACACACCTGTGCGCTATGGGCAACGGGATAGCTCATTCAGCTTAGGCAAGGGACTAGCGAGGTATAGGAACATGCATAAACCAGACCCGCATGCCAAGCCTCCCTTCAATGAGCGGAGGCGCAATGCCGGTCCATGCACTGTCCCCATGAGCATGTGTACACCCATGATGAACCCTATGCTAGCCATTAACCAAGGCCGCCCCGCAAGGGAAGATTGTCTAAGAGTGCCAAGGTCAAGCACCCAAGGAGGTCGACCACCACTCCTCAAAGAGTACGTTAAGCTTTTAGAGGTTTGTCTGAAAATGACATCAATTCTCTCAAAAATCTTATAGGTGAAAATGACAATGGTGTCCCTTAACGTAAGCCCGCCAAGTGTACACAAAGCTAAGCCGGACCATGACACACTAGCAGTTTCGGATGAGGAACACACCTACATTCAGACTTACCCAATTTTTCTTCTCATATATCAATTTCTCCCACTCGTGAACCACCATGTTGTGCTCCCTGTACCTCCATGTCCGTGAACACCGGGTGAGCAATCATCGCGGCCCGCTGCACTGGGATCTTCACCCAAAATGTTGTCATCTCGGGTTGCAGAAAAGGCATAGTTGTAGAAGATATCGTAGTCATGGATTCGACAATAATCCACTTTGTTCTTGAAGAATCTGAGGAAGAGGTGATTGTCGATGGGGTTCTGGCTAGGGTTGTTCACGGGTCGACTGACCTGCTCGGTTTACTGATGTTTTTCCAACCGATCTGACCTGCTCGGGTTACCAGAAATTGAAACTAAAACCGACCCTATGTTAAGCAAAATTGACTTGATCGGTTTGAGTCGGTTTGGGTCGGTTTCAACTCTACTTAGTCGTGACTTAGTTATTGTTTAAGTGTTCATTTCTAGCTCTACATTCCCAAAGGAAACCAACATTTCCTTAATGTTTTGTGGCCCATCCATGGATCCAGTTGTGGAGGGAACAGAGTTTGAGAGTATTATTTGCCAACTGGTGTCCACTTACACTATAGAGATGAGAGATATATAGTGTAACTAAGTAGGTTGTAACTACTAAGTAGGAACTAACTACTAAGTCGGTTCGGTTCAAGTCGGTTTCAATTTTCACACATGAAAATCAAAATCAAACCGAATCATCGGTTTATGATTTTTTATAACCCGAAACCGACCAGTGCTGAAGAAAACCCGGCCGACTCAGGTTGGATCGGTCCGGATTGATCGGTTTGGTCGGGTTGGGTCTTCTTATGAAGAGCCCTGGTTCTGGCACGGCGATGGCTGCGATGAGAATTCGCTCCAGTATTCCGGGGGAAAAATATGGGTGGTGCTTCAGCCATTCACGCCGTTTCTTGTCCCAGCTGTTAATGGGTTTGTCTTTGTGGACGTAGTAGCTGAGGTTGGGGTCGTCATAGAATGTGGGAGAAGAGGGGTCGTGGCTTCGGTTTACTCTCATTGACACAACAGCTTGGGCGCAATCATCTGAGGCGAATGCCTCCGAGACAGAGGGCTTTGGCCAGGTGACAGCAGAAGAGAAAGAAGGGGTAGGGTTGGGAATGATTGCCGGTAGTCGTTGTAGATGGCCGATGGTTTCTTTGATTTGAAATGAGAAAATAAAATATTAGAGAATAGGGGTTTATCTGATTTGAAATGAAAAACAAAATATAAGTGTTGGAGAATACCTAGTCAAGGTGAACTCACCGGAGCGGTCGTCGGTGCCGGAGAAGGAGAGATCGAGAGAAGGGGAGAAGAACGGGGTCAGGGGACGGCCAGTTCAGGCATGAGGGACGGTTTTGGGCTAATTTTGGGGCTAACAGAACAAGTTAACGGCCGTCCTGTTAGTCCCGCACGCGGGAATGCTGATCGCGTGCGAATGGACAGGTGGCGGTCGCTCGGTGTGTGGGGCGCAGATTTGAACTCCCAATAAACTACTAAACTCCCGCTAAATTCAGAAATTCGAAGTCCCCTTCTTCCAACCATCCACCCCTGAGCCCTGGCTGCCTTTCTTATCCCCGCTAGAGAAAAGCTCTGCCATGTCCCATCCTTTGATGCCATCTTATGAGCTGGCAGAACTCATTGAGAGATGCACCTCTACAACCTCGTTGAGGAAAGCCCGCCAATTGCACGGCCTCATTCTTACCTCCGTATCCCTCCTCACATGCCCACCGCCATTTCTGTACAACAACATCCTCTCCATGTACGCACGATGTTGTTCTCTCGAAGATTCTCAACGGGTTTTCGACAAAATGCCTCACAGAAATATTGTATCCTTTAATGCGCTCATCTCGGCCTACTCTCGAATTCCAAGTCATGCCACTTCCGCATTCCGATTACTTAAAGTTATGCAAACAGAAGGCCTTAGACCCAATGGCTCTACCTTCTCCAGCCTACTCCAAGCATCTTCTTCCCTCCAGGACTTGTTGTTTGGCACCTCACTCCATACCCAAGTCATGAAGTCCGGATTCTTCAATGATCTCTGCGTTCAGACGTCTCTACTCGGGATGTACTCCAATTGCGGTGTCTTGGATTTTGCAAACAGAGTCTTCAGACATCTCATTAATAAAGATGCCATTGCTTGGAACTCCATAATCTTTGGCAATATGCAAAACAATCAAATCAGACAGGGCCTCCAACTTTTCTGCAGAATGCGAAGGTCCGGTTCAACTCCAACCCACTTCACATATTCGATGGTCTTGAACGCTTGCAGCAGATTGCGAGATCATATTAGTGGGAAGCTCATTCATGCGCAAGTAATCAAATCTGATCTACCAGCTGATGTACCTCTGCAAAATGCCCTGCTTGATATGTACTCCACTTGTGCTGACATCTACTCAGCATTATGTGTTTTTAAAAGAATCAATGCCCCAGACCTGGTCTCGTGGAATTCCATGATATCTGGTTACTCGGAGAGTGGAGATGTCGAGAAGGCTGTGGACCTGTTCATCCAGTTGCAGCAAATGTCTCATGAAAAACCCGATGAGTATACATATGCAGCCATTATTTCTGCTACTGGTGCTTTGCCAGCTTCGGACTATGGAAAGCCTCTCCATGGCCTGGTTACAAAAGTTGGATATGAGATAAGCATCTTTGTGGGAAGTACTCTGGTTTCGATGTACTTGGGTAATGGGGAGACAGACTCCGCTCAAAAACTTTTCTATTCGATTCCTGATAAGGACATCATCCTGTGGACTGAAATGATAATCGGCCACTCCAGAGTGGGGGAGGGCGAAAGTGCACTTTGGTACTTCCACAAAATGAGGGAGGAAGGATACGAGGTTGATAGCTTTGCTCTAAGCAGTGCTTTGAGCTCATGTGCTGATCTTGCAACCCTGCATCAAGGTGAGATTATTCACTCTCTGGCCATAAAAACAGGGTACGAATCAGACACGTTTGTCTGTGGAAGTTTGGTGGATATGTATGCGAAAAATGGTAACCTTCAAGCTGCTCAATTAATTTTCTCTAGTATTTCAGACCCTGATTTAAAATGTTGGAACTCGATGCTTGGAGGGTTATGCTACCATGGAAAAGCAGAGGAGGCTTTCAAGCTTTATGATGAGATTTTAAAACAAGGTCTAAGGCCAGATCAGATCACTTTTGTTTCTCTGCTCTCAGGTTGCAACCACCGTGGTCTAGTCAAGATGGGTTGGTTTTTCTGGAACTCCATGAAAGAAAATAACATGGTACCAGAGCTAAAGCATTACTCATGCATGGTCAGCTTGTTGGGTCGGGCAGGATTATTACAAGAGGCAAAAGACCTGATCAGCGAATCACCTTTTGCCTATGATTATCCAGAGTTGTGGAGAATCTTGCTAAGTTCATGCATTTTGTACAGGAACTTGGAATTGGGAATCCATGCAGCGGAGCAAATTTTAAGATTAGGTACAGAAGATGGAACAACCCATATATTGCTTTCAAATCTATATGCTGCTGCAGGGAGATGGGATGCTGTGGCAGAAATAAGGAAGAATATCAGATTCTTGATGTTGGAAAAGGAACCTGGACTAAGCTGGATTGAGATTAAGAGCAAGATTAATATTTTTTCTTCATGCAACCAAATTCACCCTGAGCTTGCTCAGGCAGAAATGGAATTGCAAAGATTAAAGGGGAATATGATAAGATGGGAACACAAAATTTGAGTGGATGTCTAAGCATAAAATTTTAACAAGGCTGGATCTTGGGTTATGTCTCAGTAGCCGGAACTGTCATTGGATGGGATTCACCTTAGACCTAAGAAAGGAGAGATAAAACGAAATACCGTAAAGAGGATGACTGACGCGACAAGTAGAAAAGGAGATTCAAAGACAAAAGCATGACAAGAAAGGATATGTGCTACTTGATTTGCAGATCCAAGAACATGGCCGATAGAGATGGCATGTTGTAATTATAGAATTTAATTTGTACTTATTTGGATGGTGTAAAAAAGTGGATTTTTTTGTTGAACACAGAAAAGTGCATAATTGAAAGCGATTTTAAGAACCTAGTTCAAGATGTGTCCGGTGGAAATCTCTTGTTGGGGATGCTTTATCTTTTGTTCAGGATATTTTAAATCAGATGAAAAACAGAAAGGTAGATTTCTGTTTTGTGAATGGATTGAGAAACTCAGTAGCTCACTCTCTAGACCAGAGGGGCCTTTCAGCTTCTGGGTTCTTTGTGGAAAATATCCCAATGTGGATTAGAATTAGAACCTTGGTAGAAAAAGACTTGGTTATGCAATGCTCTGTTTCTTGTGAAATTTCGTATTGTAGCCAAAAAAAAAGTGATTTTTTTAAAATTGAAGAATAAATGAAATACAATGTTTAATCATCTCACTACGCTAAAAAATCTTCTGCGGACCGTCAAAGCATTGAGACCCGCATGTTTGCCCCCTCTGCTACTTCCCAAACAATTGATTCAGTAATACCAGAATTGCATCATCTCAATCTCTCCACTTCTTCATACTTCGATGCATGAGACACATAAATAAACTTCCCAAAAAGCAGGACTGAAATGCCTGACTGACTCGTAGGAAAAGGTAGAAGTTGGAAAGACTAATGCCATTAGAGAAAGAATTTATTCTTGGCCTCAGTTGGACCATTATGAGAATGTTCTTTCCAAAATTGACAAAAGCCCGGATACAATGGAGATAAAATGCACTGTTTTAAGCACTCAGGAACGAACTACATACAGAAAGTCCCAGGACTATATTTACAGAGGTCCATGAATAAAATAGGAAAAAAATTCATTTTCTTCATGATGCAGAGGATAATGAATCCTCCCTTCATATTCGCGGCAGAAGTTTCGCCTTCTAGAATTGAAGAAAAGGGTTGATGGATCAGGAAACTGCCACGAGATTGTGTCCTGCCTGTGGTTCAAAGACAGTGTTTGATACATTATCCTGTGGTTCATAAACAGTATTTGATACTTTATAAGGAGGCCAGTAGCGGAGCACTGATCTGCCAACAATGTTCTTTATCGGAAGAGGACCCCTGAAAATATTGTAAAAGACATACGATTGTAAGTATACATACAGATTTTCAAAGGAACCTACGAGGCAACTAGATCTTCAAAAATTCTGTCTAATCCACACACACCACTGAACGCTGGGGTTAGGAACCGTGATAGTGCCATGTATAGGTTGTATACAACACAATGCAATGGGAGATTACTCAAATGTCAAAAATTAATCCAGAGTCCAGCATTTAAAATTTACCAATTATGGGAGTCAAAGCTGTTGTTCCGATTATCACCCATCACGAAAACATAACTTTTAGGCACAAGCTGCACAAATAAACAAAAGATAGCCTACCGTAAGTGTGGAGAAAAAGAAATAATCCTATTCCTTGATAGCAGATACTGTGGTAAAGTGTGGTTAAATACAAACCTTTTCTCCAGAAAATGATCAAGTAGATCTCTGATCATTTTCTTATTCCTATTTTTAGTTTGCAACTTCAACTTTTCAATTTACAATGAGCTAGTGTCAAGGAAGCTGAAAGGAGAGGAAGAAATTTATACCACTGGGGCCATCTCATAATCAAGTGGCTCTAGAATGAAATCTTCCTCTTGTACAACACCATTCACCAGCAACTTTCCATCACGAACCTATCATGAGGAACCACTCGCATTTTTTATATCAATGTGAAACATCAATAATGCAAGGAACAGAAAGAACGTCATTAAAGATATTATCAAATAACTTGTAAGAAAACTCACTTCAACACAGTCTCCTTCTTTGGCTACAATTCTTTTGATGAACACATCACCTGAATTATAACCAAATTCCTGCGTGCAGGAATGCAACTATGTAAGTTCAAGTTGTCATTTGCATAAATTTGATGGTATATAATGGCTTATTACAGCATTGAATTTTTAAAGCTGCAAAACGAACCTGCAAAACTGGAGGGGCCTTGAAAATCACTATATCTGCAACATCAGGCTTTCTGAAAAGGTATGAAACCTGAAATATCAATCACAGAAGCAAACAATATCAATTTCAATATTTACGGAAGTGTAACCTATGCCTTGAACTATCTGAACTAGTTTAGCACACTTGTACTGATTTCACATATATCCATAGCCACCTCTTGAACAAGTAATTCGCAGGACCTAAAGTCATTTCATCCAGGATGTATTTAATGTGTTTACTCACTCACATTCATCAAAAAATAAAGTGTTTACTCACTCAAATAACCTTAGTCATTTTTAAGAAAAAACAGTTTTTGCATCAGCAAAATCATAGATATTTCAGAATTTATTAACAATTTACAGAACTAATTTTAGTTTACATTAAACAAAGGTACATATCTAACCATGAAGTTCTGGTACTTTACAATGTAAACTCTGGTTGCTGAGTGAATTAGCTATACCATGTGCACAGATTATCACAAACACCTGGATTTGGTTACATTTTCCGAGTGTAACTATAGTGACGTAAAAACAAATAGTTCAAAAACAACTGGTGCAGACTCAGTTGGTAGGATCTCTGACTCATTGTAGCAGAGATGTGGGATCAAATCCCACCGCCACCAGGGTTGGAGGGGTTAAGGGGATGGGGTATGGGTCCCCCCTCCGGCCCGGTTGTGTAGCCCCATAGAGCAAAGAAAAAAAGAATAAATAGTTCAACAATTGAAGAATAAGGGACTCAACTTTTATATGGTATTGTTACAAATAATAATTCTTATCTGAATTAGAAAGTTCCAGTTTGTGATCTTAAGAATAACTTGATCCACACTTAACTCTTTTGTTCTCTTATTTATTGATTTGAAACTTTGAATTATAATTCTAACCTGAATCAAGCATATGCAACTATTAGGAATTTCAGAAGTGTTCAATATGTGCATAACGGGTCAATTAACTTTTATCACTGACTGCATCGTCTCAAATCTAAAATCTTCTAATCTAAATCAGAAGAGAACAATTTCCATAAGTTACTTCTCTAATTAAGGTCTTCAATGTATTGGAAGAAGGAAACTTCTAGACAATTAGTATGCAACTATTGCTTCGCTGAGCACCTTTCAATAAACACCTTATTTTTAAGATTTTAAAATTCTCAAAGGAGACAGATCATTGGAGCTGGTGGTTTCTTCGTGTTAGTGCTTCTAAAACAGTAAAAGAATATAAATTAAATTAATCCATGCATCATCCCTCTTTCAAGTTTCAATTTTTGCAAGAAAATATCCTTGCACAGGCGATGGGGAAGAGAAAAATATAAGATACACATCTAAAGGCCAAAGTGGAAGGTCAAGTGAAACAGGAGAAAGTTTATGTTACCTTCTCTGCTAATATTCTGTCCCCCACATCGAGAGTTGGATACATAGAAAGTGATGGAATTGATCTCGGCTCAGCCAAGGAGGAGCGAAACAGTAAGGTAACAGTCAACGCCGTAAAAACAGCCTTGGCATCATCGGACGAGAAACTCACAAGCCTCGAAAGCCAGCATTTCTTTTGAATCATCCTTTCATTTAACCCTTTCGAGGCTGTCCCTGGGGCCTCATTATGTTCTCTATCACAACAAAGTGTTCCACCTTTATCCACTTCGTTGCTTACAGAACCCTGAAAGAATTCATTACACGGAAGCCACTTCGTCCCCTGGAAAAATGTAAGGAGCGAAGAGGCCTTAAATCCGAGAACGGACGACGACGAAATCCCAAAAATTCCCATACCGGCAGATCCAGAAACGCAAGCCGAAGACTTCATCATCGAAATCAAACCCATAACCAGAGGAGAAGAACAGTTATCACTCACAAAATCGCCGGAGAGGGAATTATATAACGACGCGGATGCCTTAGGCCAACATCCCGTTGGGGATCTCTTGAAATCAGCCCGGTAATTCCTCGCAGCAGCAGCAGCAGCTGGGTCAACATCAGACTTCTGGTTAGAGAAGAGGAACCTTGATCGTCCGCAGCACTCATGGAACAACCTGCAGTTCCCAGTCCTAATCCCGACCGATGAAGCGAGATTCTGAGCGAGGTAGCTGGAATAGGTGACGGTGATTCTGATTGCCATGTTGGTAACCTTGAAGAACCTGAGAAAGGTTCGGTACAGAGTAGTCTTGGTGATCGAAGATGTCGAAGGCCAAATACCAAAACTTAAAGAAGGGATGACATTTCTACTGAACAAGGAAGTAATGCGAAGACGGGAGGGTTGAATTGGGCCGGTAAAGCCTCCCTAATTAACAAAACTGAAAGCAATTATCAGCAGAAGAAAGAATTTCTAGGGTTCTAAAATCTATCTAGGGTTTAGTAGAACAAAACGATGTAGTGATAGATGAAACGGGAAAGGAAATCGAGGAAATGTAGGGTTCCCGAGCTTCCCGAGCTTCCCGAGCTCAGGGGGAGGGAAAAAGGAAGAAGATGATCGCTGAAGCCAAGCCCAAAAAAATTGAAGAAAATCAGAGGGGACTTGGACGGGCTTTGGGTTTTATTCTGTGGCGGCTAGATTCTGAAGACGAAGAAGCTCTTGCTTCTGATCCACATTTACGCGAGTGCCCTCATAATTAAAAAGACTAGAATAGCCTCGGAGAGTGCTACAATGACAAATGAACCCTTTTATCACGTGTACGCGGCACCAACTCTCCAAATCCGTAGCTTTAGGCTGTGTTTGATTGGAGTGTAATTTTATTTGCACTAGTACAAAAAATGCATGGGAATGTAAATGAAAAAAAATGTAAATTTGTGTTTAATTTTGTTTTAGGTTTTATCTTATTTTGCTTTGTGTTTTAATTTACTCCATTTGTATTGCAATAAAAAAATAAGCTAAAATTTGAAACAAAAATACATCAGAATCAAGGTCCAAAATATCGATATGCCCGATATACCAATAGGGGCATATCGAGCAAAATGATACACATTTTGGTCCCTTTTTTTATTTATTTATTTTTTGCAACTGGTTCAGTGAGCCGGTTTAGGTCTCCTATACCCCCTGAAACCTCTGATACATCCACTATAGGGGCATATCGGAGGGGTCTTGGAACGATATGTATCGGCTAATATGGGCCGATACTTTGAACCTTGGTCATCATTTGCACTGCCATAGTTTTGCATCAATGCAAATTTATTTGCATTCAAACACAGGCACACAGCCTTAGGCGGAAGAAGTATACAAATACAAATATATATAGTGTAAAACTTTGTATTTTGTATGTATTTGCACTTTATATATTTGTATTTCTATTCTTTCCAAACTGAGTCGTAGTTAAAAAAAGAAAGGGAAAAAAAAAAGCCTTTTGTTTGAGAAAGGGAAAATTGCAGATCCCTGAATTTTTATTTTAATCCCTGAATTTAGTATTTAAACTTTCAAAACATATCAGCTTAGTTTTTACTATTAACCAGCCATTAAATGACATTTAAAAGAACACAAATGCCCTCTGGTGTCATCTAATCTTCTTTATTAACTAGTTCTCCGCACTGGTTCTAATACGTGGAAGATGACATTGGAAAAAGAAATATTACCGGAGAACATCATAGTCAATTTATTTTGTCAAAAACCGATCTGATAGAGCTCACAATCTAGTCTGTACTGTGGCAACTGTGGACCTGGTTTCTATTGCGGCCATCGAGTTAAATGTTGCTGGAACCCCGCACTGATCTGAAAAGAAATCAATCTTCCGATTATGGGAGAGGTTTGCTTTTGATGTTTAGAAGCTCATTGTATCGTGGTATACACCAAGCAAGTAGCTCTTCAAGGAGAAAGTCCTTGGAGGCTATTTCCCAGGTGACTGACCCCCACCAACCGAATACAAAGCAAAACGCAAGAAAATTAAGGCAAACCATGGTAAAGAGAGAACTGATAGATAAGCTTCATCAACAGCAGCTTTGCTCATGACATTTGCCCTAGGTTTCTCTTTGCCATCAAAATATGATCTGAGGTTTGGGGCCCTTAATGAATCGGAAATTAATTAGAGGTGGAGGGAAGGAGCCTGCTGAGCAATGAGCCACGGTTACAGTGAACCTGATCACACTGAAATTTTGACACAATTGAGATACCTTTAATCCTCCTTCATTTTCCTCGTTATTTGTTTCCAATTTAGAATATCCTCTTATAGCTTTCATCATTTTCTTTAAGCTGCATAACTGATACCTTATTTGATTTAGATATTTCTCACTCCATTAAAGTAACTTCTTGTTATATGGGCTGTAGGATTGTTTTCAGCTTGAAAGTCAACTTCTTATTTGACCAAGTCTTGCTTTGACAAGTGTCTTAAACCAAAATTTCTTTAGATTTGAAGGGTTCAGTTAATTATTTGCTCTGCTTTTGCTTCACTGTTATGTGGCCTAATGGATAAGAGAAAGCTCTAATGTACATGCGTTAAGGACCTAGGAGGGTTCTAATTCCATGGGTCCAGTTGTAAGCATATGGGGCGGATCCTCTTCTTGTTGATCATTGCTTTAGTTCAACATTGATTTTTTGAGTTAAAAGATAGATGAATAATATTTTATTTTGAAGGATAGTTTTAACATTTTCAAAAGTTTTAAAGTCGTACATATTGTCATGTGATAGCAATAACTGAGGACCAAAATGAAAATAGACCCAAAAGTACGGGTTATTAGTATACAATTTTCCCCGGAGGAAAAAAATTCTAGGGTGGTTAATGAACCAGGGTTACTTTTGATAATTCAAATGTAGAAAACAACTAGAATATGCAGCGGGGGCCTCGGGGCATAGAGGAGATAGTGGACGACATCGCGGGCATTTATGTCTCATTGAAAAGGTTGACTTTGACCCGGTCTGAGGAGTTGGTTGCCTTCCCGCCAACTTCCGGGCAGCCCACTGCCCCACCCACCCAAAAATATAGACAAGATACAGAACGACAAGGAAAAGACCATTTTAGCCTCGGTTTGGTGAATTACTCTCACATGGTCTCATAGACTTTGAGGGACCTTGTCGGGTGCAACTCCTACGAAATTTGGTCAAGAAAATGAAAGTGGAAAGCCGATGCTCAAAATTTACAAAAAAAAAAAAGGAAAAAAATCGCAGTCATCAGCCCGGGATTGATGGGACCCAACCTCTGTGGCCGATCTTAAGCAGTTAAATAGTCAACGTGGAGTGTATGGATTGTCTGAGACAACATGGATAGGGCCGGCACTCGACAGGTGGCGAGTTGAAAAATTAAGAAAAATGAGAAGAAATGGATGGGAGAATTGAGTAAACAAATAGAGATGGCAGAAGGAAAACAACGGCAACAACAACGAGTGAGATGAGGTAAGCGCTTACGCAAAACGTGTACAAATTCCAGGGAGGCCAACATCATCATCCGAATTATAAGGCGATAAGAGTTGAATTCTAGGTTTCAATGTCAAAGACAAACACTCGATCCAAATCTTTGTGATTCCCTGCAAATTGTTCTATTCATTCTTGAATTCGTTTATGTATCTTTGCTTTTAAATTCGTCTAACTTTTCCTTTCAATTTTTTAAACCTGTTCCGATCCATCCCATCTGTTAAATTCTTTGACCAAACATTTTTTACTAATTTTTTTTTTAATGCTTATAGTGTAACTTCGACTCAGATCAATTAATGATAAATACCAAATCTCTTAACACTACTTTAAGGCACCAAGTCATCTCACATTTTGTGTAATTTAATTAAATAAAATAGATTTTATTAACTTTTGTACTCATCAAAACAATCAATGTATGCATGATTAACGATTCCAACTAAAAATAAAAAAAAATAATAATATTTAAAATTAACATTTTATAATTAAATGAAATAAACAATCTATCAAATCCAAATTTACATCAAATGATGATTTTAATCTCAAGAAATTTATACAAATAAAATATTAATAATAGAATAATTATCTTAATACTTAAAATTTATAAATTTGTGCATGATATATAATATAATAGGTTCATATTTCAAGTATTGGATACCTAAAGTCAAAACCCAAATCCATCCCAAATCCTATAGGATTTTTATCTAAAATCCAAAACCCTATAAGATTTTGATAAACGAGTCCTATTAAGGTAGAAACGGATCGAAAATTCTCGCAAAATTGCCATCCCTATGTCTTTGTGATGTGATGGGCAAATTAAATCTTAATGAGCGAATGTAGGAACACAGCATTATGGCTGGAGTGGGTTACCGAGGGCCCGAATCGGTCGTGGAGAGTCATGGTCATAATGCCCACACACAAATACAAGACAATTTGATTGATATCATTATCTGTTCCTGGATAAACTTCCATCCGTTTGATGACTTACCACCAAAAATTATCAACTCAAAATTTCTTTTATTCAAAATCCCATTTTCATCTTTTACCAGGTATCACCTTTTTTTGTAGTCGCAATTCAACTCATCCAACCCTTGTAAGACTGGCTCATACAAATCTGTAAACGTGTCTCAATCCGATCAGCATGAATGTTTTTTTTTTTCCAATATTATTCATTTACAATGAAGTTGGGTCAGAAAGTTCAGTGGAACTGGCTGAATAGAAATCAAGTTTGTCTCATATGTTTGATGTTGAGACAGATTGCTAAGTATAGCAAAAGCTTGGAGACAATTCAAGCAACTACCACCACCAACTCAGAGTGGATCAATTCTCAGGAGTCAGGACTAATAAATGAAAGTGACTAGCAGCGAGCAGTGACTGGCTTTGGTTTAGCAGATTTCTGCATAGGGAAGACAAAACAGGAGGTGGTTATTCAATTTATTTATTACTACCAATTACAATTATCATGTGGTAAGAAGACATAGAGACAAACCTCTTTGCTAGACAGATTTCAATAGCCACTTTCCTGACTCAGTTTGGGAAGACTGCAAATACAAAGTTTAGAAATATTGTATACAAGGTGATGGTGCGCGATCTCATGCTACCTGCTAGAGGACAAGTCAGATGTCGAGTTAACTAGGTTGGCTGGTCGAGCTGCAAGAAGACAATCAGAGTACCCGAGGTGTTTACACAGGATGGGCACTCCGATGCTTAAGTTAGCAAGGAGTGTTTTGAGAGAGCTAAAAACTGATAAAGCAAGAGAGCTATGAGAGCTAAATCGCACATACCTTCTCTGGTTGAAGGGAGCACCTTTATATAGGCACAGGTAGTTGTGAGCTTCATGTAGCGCATCCGAGATCCCAGGGAGGATGTGATTTATCAGCCCACCATGCTCGGAGACAGTTTCCTTGTAAAACAATAGAGCTTATCCAATTACCTCTGAAGTGGGTGACGCAGGAGCCAGCTCCATCAGTGAGGTGACGTGATCCCATAGGACTCGGAGACGATAAGTCACACAAAACAGAGGCCGGTCGCCATGTCACGCAAGTCACCAACTGGACCTCGGTCAAGTCGATTGGGCCTCAACAGGAGGTCACCCTTCGTGTCGAGGTCTCTAGATCAGTCTTGAGGTGGCCAGCTTGATCCTGCCGAGGTGCCTACAAGTCGGCCCTGTCGAAGTGGTGGTGAAGCACTCTCAAGGTGTGCAAGGTGCACCCAACGTGGTTCCGAGACGATCTCTGTCATTTCGGCTAATGCAAGTCATCGCCTACGTGACATAGAGGTGTTATGCAAGAGTTCACATCTCCGCCCCACAATGCCCCACAGCACATCCCCGCCGTGTATTGGGAACATCTCCCGATGATAGTACCAGTTCGGATGATGTCATCATCGGGATATGTTCCCAATACACGGCGGGGATGTGCTGTGGGGCATTGTGGGGCAGCCCCTTGTGGGGAGGAGATGTGATCTTGTTATGCAACAGTTCGGAAGTGCCACATGGCGTGATGCCACTAGAGGGCCAAATTACCCCTCATCACAAGGCTTTGCAAGTTGGAACAAATTCACTAACAGATGCAGCTCTGAAACTTGCCCTTGATGTTGTTGCAGCCCCCGGGAACATGCAAACAAGAAATAACATTTTATTATATAAGAAATCAGAAGGTAGAATTCAGGAACAGATCATGCCAATAATCAAAAATATTTGGTAAACAAGCCAAAAATAAATAGTTAAATGGACTTCAATACATAACAAGCAAAAGGAATTTTCTTACTCTTCCATAGAAAACAGGAGAAAGAAGCCTCACTTCCCAACGCCATTTAAACTACTCATGCATTTGTTTTCAAACATTCTAGTAGACAGGTTAGATAATTCTAAGAATTTGACATAGACATTTTCCTGATGTCAGCCAGAAAGATGCATGTTGCCAACTAAATTCTAATCCAGCACTCCACCTAGGTTGCTTGTCACATGAGCTGTTTCAAATGGTTTGAACCACCCATGTAGGATTTGGGTAAGGTGCCTCAGGGTCTCCCCCACCCACACACACAATAACAAAACAAAACAAAAAAAAAAAAAGAGTTCAAAGCATAGATATTAATTGTTGTAATCTAATAAAGCCCATTATTTAACATCTTCTGCATTATAAAATATACTTCCAACTACAAAAAAAAATCTAATATCTTGGGTGTGGAATCCAATGCAACTTCATGGAGTAATTGTCATTCAATCACAATTACCCGTTTTAAATCCCAACACCCCATATTTCCTTGTATTTGTATATATTATGTGCTTAGTGCTTGTGCAGATCATAAGAGTTTATCCAACCCAATAAAATATAATAATTATTAAGATCTAGTTACTTAAATATAGCTAAATGGGTGTTGCATTGCAATATCAATTTGATAAGTCAAACTAGTATGTGGTTAGGCCCCAGGAAATACAAAACACATGACCCAACTTGAGGCTAAGAAAAAGCATCCCTTCTGGGAGGGTAGCATTTAAGAGTTTTATTACCTTGGAAGCTACATGAACGAAAAAAAAAAAAAAAAATCATGCACATTTGACATGACTTTTGGTAGAGACTCCACTAACTATGAATCCATTCCAGAAGAGTTGTCATCAGAATCTAAGAGGAGTAACTGCTCTAACTCTTCAATCCATTGATAGCACATACCAAGATACTTCTTGATGCAGGAGATGAAGAGTCAAATTTGGTATTTTGTGAAATTTTATGTATTTCTGTATTTTTGGACACCCGAGATAATTTTACCATTTTACAATTTTTCTATAGGGTCCAATAATAGGGTTTGATTGTCTATTTATAATTTGTTTATGCTTAAAACTTTAGTCATTGCATAAGCGGAATTAGAGTTATTGAGTTTTCTTTGAATTGAAATAGGATATGACAACTTAGTTTGAGTCCTATTAGGATTATTGAGTCTAACAGTTTGACTCCTAGAGCTATAATGAAGTCTAACAGTTTGACTCCTGGAATTATTATGAGTTTAGAGTCTATAAATATGTATGGACATTTTACACAAAGAGCAATGAAGTTTATTGAGTTTTCTTCAGTTTATGCTAATTATGGTGAGTGATTCTCATACTTCAACGTGATTCTAGGCACCCCATGAGAGATTCTGGGTATTTTCTCTACTTTCTCTCCCTATTTTCTTTCTTATTCCTTCAAGAAGCCATTACATCCATCAACGGCCATAAATTTTCTGATCAAAGAAGACCATTCAACATTTTCGAAAGACTAGAACTGAGCTGGTCCTACATCGATTCTCAAATTGACAACTGTATCCTGTAAAAAGTAAGAGTCTCTTTGAAAGCCCACTATCGAAATTAGAAACTGGTACTACTGAGGTAGACATTGGTTGACTGGTTGTATTTGGTAGACTAGCTTCTCCTGGAGCCTGTGATATGGAAATAGAGAGAATTCGGATGAAGGAACCTTGGACAGAGTATCATGAGTGAATGAATTGCAAGCTCTATATTTCTTATCATGGTCTTGACAACAGCCACCAGCTTTTGCAGCAAAGTTTTTCCTCTTTCATGGCCATACTACTTCCCCCAAGCTCCTGCTTTATGACTGATAGTGTAGTCTCTTATGATAAGTTAACAACGCAACATACACAAGATGGAAAAACAATGATTGCAATAGTCATTTATGACATTTCAAAAGCCACATGCATAAATGTGTTAGAATGTGTTAGGATTTTTGTTTTCCTTTTCCTTTTTGTTTTGTTACTTATTTGTGGCCAGGTGGAAAGACAATGGAGGAGATAAGTTTCAAAAATATTATGATTCTTAACTTAATAGTTTCTGGGATTTGCGATTACGTTTACTTAACCATCAAAAGAAACAAAATTTTTGCCTAGCTACCTATATACTGTTGAGAATATCTTGATTTTTACTTACATCAGCAACATTTATATGACCCTTGGAGGGAGAAAAGAAAACTAACAAGTTTCCATGTATCAGCACCTATTCCAGACCCTCGATATCCATAATGATGCAAATATCACAGAATGGTGTTAAGGTTACAGTTCCATGAGACATTAATATCACATAGAAAATTAGAAATTTATGGAACTAAATATAGCACTAACTTAAAACATGAATAATGAAAGTAACCAGCGCAATTTGAGAAGCCACTTTGAAGCATCTAGATAACATAGTTGCAAGACACAATAACCACAAAAGACTATCAATACAAGAATCAGCCATATAGGACTGCAATCCAAACAAGCATCTTAGATAATTCCAATCCAACATATAAAATCTGTACATCCATGAAGAGGATATATCAGTAAAATATAAAACTATACATTTTATCCATAATGGCAAAATTTTATTAATTGTACTAAAGAATGAAATACAACAATATTGAGCCAAACACCACAACAAAAGGACTAACACTCAGTAGCTCTCCTTCCTGATTTTCCTTGCAAAGTATCCTTCTGTGAAATTATTCCCCAGTATAGTTAAGTTCTGTTTACACTGGCACAACAATATTGAGCCAAGCACCACAACAAAAGGATTATCACCAAAGCATACAAGATAATAAGTACAAAAACAGCGTAATACTAACAACCTCCTTTGTGGCCTTTTACACAAATTTCTTTATGACCATCCCCCAGGTACTGCTCAGCCCAACATAAGCATTCCCTAGAACTCCAGCCCTTGCAATGGAGTCCACTACAATATTTGCTGATCTAGGTCTAGGTTGTTTCAAGGTATTAGTATATCTAGCATTCAAGCAAGTAATGAAGAAAAGAGAGAAGATTTTAGGAGGTGTATTCGAAGAATACTCCCACCTCCAACAAGGGTTGTTGTATTAGAAGGGCAAATCCTATGTATAATCAATGTTTTAAAAGGTGTGGGAAGCATACGCCTAGAGGCAGTCCAGACAAGGCAGCCCCAAAATGCCCTAAGGCACATGCCAAAGGTGCTGATATCTCTGAGGGGTACCCCTCATGCATACAAAGAGAGAGAAAAGAAAAGTCTAAAAGAACCTTCAACCTAAGCTTAAGCTGTTAATGAGGTCTCTGAAATAGGTTTTTATTCTCTGACACACCCCCTCATGCAAAAGCTCATCGGGTTTGAAGCATGTACAAGCACAGGCCCACCTATAACTTGTGCTGAAATTTAATTAATTATAATGGGGGTGGCGAGTACTGGACACTAGACTACTTGGTCAAACAGGTTCTGATACCATCTCAAGGAACCATTCAACCTAAAAGTTTAAACTGTTAGGTGAGGTTCCTGAATAGGTTTTTATTCTAACAAAAAGAAGGAAAGGAAAGGAGAAGGAAAGAAAGAGAAGAAAAGAAAGAAAAGAAAAGGAAAATAAGGGGAAGGGAAGGGGAGGGAAAGGAAGAGAAAGGAAGTCTATTATGCATCTCCATCCTCTTAATACAAGACATCTTTCATAAAAAAGAAACAAGAAAAACAAGATGAGATCCCCCTTCTTCTTCCTCCTCCTCCTCCTCCTCTTAACGAGCCTTGCACTTCCTTGTTCTTGGGAGGCTTATGCCTCTTGCATTCTGAAATACTCCTCACGCCTCCAGATAGTGGAATGTCTCAAGTCACACCTCCATGTTTTAAAACATTGTGTACAATTACAAGACCCCCCCCCCCCCCGATAATCTATGTACATATACAAGCCAACCTAAACAGGCAATATAAATACAATAAGAAAAAATAAAAGAAAATGTTATTTAAAATATTGATATGAGCATGTATCCCATTTGGGGTTTATAGGAGTATATCATCATCATCATCATATGGAGTCAGCTAATGAAAAGATGGATCAGGATTCATGACCATGAAAGTTCCGCAAAAGTTTTAATACCAGTTCCTAACTTCAAACAACCCTCTTCCTTTATCCAAGCTTGGGACTGGAGGTGTAATAAAAGATCCCACTAGTGGAGTTGTTTGTAGGAGTGTATTTATAGCTAAAACTAGGGCTATTCCCTTTGTGTGTTTGCCTATTTCCTTTGGGCCAGGGAGGTTATTTAAAAATCATGTCATTTTATAAGATAAGTTGTCATTTGATCATTCACTGATTTAATTTGTGGTTTAATAGTTTATAATATAATTAACAATTTAACATTTACTTATATAATACATGTAAGTGTATGATAGTATACATGCATGAATCACAATATATGCACATATTTATTTTTTTCATTTACATCATCTAGGCATTGACACACCTTGCCAAGCCAAATGGCCTACGTTTTTCTTTTCTTCATAGGTGCCAAAAGGCCTAGGTTTTACCCAACGGACTATACACTGGTATAGCCATTGTTATACTGTTTTGTACAATGGCTGAGGGACCCTCTCCCTCCCCAATAATACAATCTGTTTCACTTAAAAATAATAATGAATGAAACTACACTAGTATAGCCATCAATCTAGGGATGGTAATTTCCCCATTTTCCCGATCCCCATAGGCACCCACCCCGAATGGGGCAGGGATGGGGATGATCCCCCCTGAGATGGAGATGGGAAAATTTTCACCCCCGTTGACAGGGACGGGGAGAGTACTCCCTGCCCCATGGGGATCCCCGCTTAATAGGATTGTAAACTTTAACTATTTTATTTTAAATTTTTAAATAAAATAAAAAACAAAAACAAAAACAAAATGATTATAATCATAAAAAATCTTAGGGAGTGGGGATCCCATAGGGATGGGGATAACCTTGTCCCCACCAACAAGGATAGGGACGGGGAGGCACATTATCAAATATATCTACAACTGCAGTGCAATGCAACCCTCTAAACCCAACCTAGGTTAAGTGTAATGGGCCTTGTTTCTAAGAAGCCTCATTCTTCTTTCCCTTTGACCACTACATTTATCATCCTCATTGTCATCATCATCATCATCATCTTAGCCTTGTCCCAACTATATGGGGTCAGCTTTTGTGACCACCACAATATGATCCCAAATTGTGTCTTGAAATCAGTTTACCCCCCTTTCTTTCCCAAAAGAAGAAAGGTTCCAAGCTACTATGAGATCCTACCTATGACATGATAAAATCGAAGGCTCCGTAGACACATTTCAAATTGCAATAGACAATTCCTTTTCTCCTTCACATACTTTAGCCCAAAAAAAATCACTTGGATAGCAAGGTTGCAAGTTTGGTAATCCTCCACCGGTCCTTCTAGAATTGATCTAATAAATGCTCCTCATCAGATTATATGGGTCTGAAAACATTTAGTCTCTTGGCTCCATCCTTTCTTGAGAATACTGAAAGAAGCATTGAACCATGATATTTTCTCAACAACCCTAGAAGAAAAGTTAACCATAATAAATCCACAACAGCAACTATCTGCAAATAATTTGGTGATTTTAGGAATCCAACTGAATGACATTTTCACTCTAGATGCCAATTCTCTGATCTCCCTAATACGGTGTCTGAGGCATCCGGGGCATATAAATTGATAAGCAGTCAAACCAAAAGTCACTTAAAACTTAAAAGTTCCCCTACACCTCTATGTGATCAAATGCAAACACACATGACCTAATCATCTTAGCAAAGTTTTCTTGCTTGTCACAAATTGCAACAACCACCAGATTCCCACGAGTGCATTGACTTCTTTTATCGTTCTGAGCCTTGCTACTCACCAACTTAGCCGCACCCATTCCATGGTCATATACTTTTTGGTTATTCAAATTCAATTCTTTAAGAGACGGATGCTCTTATGGTCATCTTCTAAAATTTTGCCCCCAATTTACATTCATAAGTCACGCAATCCTCCAGAAGTAGAAACCTCAAATAAGATTTTTGAATTGTATTATAGTATTATAGTGTTTATTTTTTAAAATATTGAAACTTAACAGATTTAAAATATTATTGTCTTTTAGACAAGTTTTGAGAGGAAATGTAATGTTATTAGTAAAGATTTATGAATTGGTATATAAAAACTAAGCCTCAGTTTGGAAAGAGTACAAATAGGAACTTAATTGAATGAACTAATGCAATTGTAAAAATTACAGAAGAAGCAAATATCCAACTCTTTGAGAATATTGCAAGTTAAAAGGATCCAAGAAGAACCCCAAAATAGTTTTAATTTATGAAGCTACAAACCTGCACAATATGATTAGCTTCAAGTTCAAATCCGCCAGTTGATACCAAAGAATCATAAAGACAGCTACAATGGTCTAACCTCTGGCTTTCGTCTCTGTACTCCAATATCCGCCCCCTAACAGACCAAAAAAAAAGTCCATTAATTAAGGAATTGGAAAATAAAATTAAAAAGAAAGAAAGAAAGTTCCGCATTATATAACAAACCTGTAGAAAGAGTTTGGAAAAGAAAATCTTTATTTAAACCCTGATTTACTGCTCAGCTCAAACAACTCAGTCAGGGAACATTATGGTTATATCGGCCTAATATGTATTGTAACTGCCCAGGGATTTATCATTGGCAAAGAGATAAAGGTGTAGCTGTTGCTGCTACTGCTGCCGTTGGGGCTAGGGCTGAGGCTGCAAGAGCTGCGTGCTTTGCTGATTCTGGGTCTGTTAAGAGAAGGAACGGAAGGTCCGGAATGCCATTTCTGTTATTGTTCTCTAGTGTTTGATTCCCACTCTTCGTACATTTCGAAATATTCCGTTGGCGAAACTGAGATCGGATTCAGTCCTCACAATAATGTCGTGTTTACACGGTACTCGTATCTACTTGCAACTGTGCATTAGGAATATCTCTGTTCTTTGTACGTTTTATTCACAGGGAGATATTCCCAATGCACAGCTGCAAGTCGCTGTGAGGACGGTCCCAGTTCGGGGACTCCCTCCAGCCTTTAGCCGATAAAATTTCCAGATAATTTTTGGTTCGGAAAATCTCTTAAATTGTCTTTAATGCTGCGTTTGATTGCAGTGCAATCAAGGTTCAAAGTATACATGATCGGCCCTTATCGGGAGCACCCCGTGTATCAGGGTTCTGACCGGTTTAGGGGGTGGAGGAGTCTTAAATCAGCCTCCTGAATCGGTTTTGAAAAAAAAAAAATGATCAATACACCTCTACTGGCATATCGGGCATATCAATATTTAGAATATCAATATTTAGAACCTTGAGTGTAATTTAATTTGCATTACTACTAATGCGTGAGAGTGCAAATGAAAAAATTACAAATTTTTGTTTAATTTTGTTTTGGATTTTACTTTATTTGGCTTTGTGTCTTAATTTACTTTATTTATATTGCAATCAAACAAAATAAGCTAAAATTTGAAACGGAAATAGATAAAAATATAAGATTTAGACTCAAATCATTTGCACTGCCATGGTTTTGCATCAGTGCAAATTTATTTGCATTGCAAGCAAACACAACTTAAAGGCTCGGTTTGGAAAGAATACAAATATATAGAGAACAAAACCTTGTATTTTATATTATTTTGTATGTATTTGCACTCTACATATTTGTATCTGTACTCCTTCGAAACTAAGTCTAAGTTAAGAAATGGATTCTAATAAATTGCCACAAATATCCCCAAGCTTTTTGATAATTGACTATAAATCCTTTCCTATGGATGGTGTCCCTTCTATCACAATCCGTTCACATGCAACATCATCTAATGTATAATTCTTTTTTTAAATCCAATATTACCCTTTTATGATTAATTATGTTCTCCATTATTCTTTAAATTTTCAAAATAAAATTCAACAAATACAAATTTTATCTCACTTACTTAGTTACTTAGTTTCTACTAACTGTGTAGCTATAAAATGAGAAGCAATGGATCATGTTGATTCACGGACTTAATTGCAAAAATAGAGAGAAAAGGAAGAGGAAAAGGAATATGGCTGGTGAGTAGCATTGGTTCACTTGCAAATGACTCGAAATGGATGAAATACACACCTATCATATAGGTGTATTTCACCCAACAGCAATGGAATTTAAACTTGGGATGAAATTAAGGATAATGAACACCTTGGAAAATTTTTAAAAAAAAAAACTCACATCTCACTTTGACACCTTGGAAAAATTAAAGAAACTCACATCATAAAAGGTTGCTCTCACTTTGACCGAAAGTGTTTGAGAACCCGAAAGGAGCTAGAGCAAGATTACAATTAAGTAATTGTTTAACTGAATTTTGAATTCCAAGAGAGAGGAGATAGAAACATAGAAAAGATAATTTGTGTCTTCATACTGTCAATAGTTGATATGCACAATGTTTTTGAACCGTTGTTGATTCGGACGGTCAGACCGTTCGGCCCGAAAATTGTCCAAGCAACCGGTTCTATTTCACCCTTAACCCATTCTTGGGTAAAAAACCGTTGACTTCGTTAGAAAACCACTGACACAGGCAGTCGAACCGTCGACTCGTTTGACCCAGCCAGCGGTTCACTATATAATGTTGCAGAACTCAGATCAGAGATCCACACGAACTCAAATATGCGACCTGAGAAGGGAGAGAAGAAGAAGAAGAAGTATAGGTGTTTAGACTTCAGAGAACTCAAATCTGAGATCTGAGATCCAAGAACTCAGATCTCAGATCTGCATCTATTGCCGCTGCCGCTATCGTCGCCGGTGAGCATCGAATCCTCTTCCTCCTCTTCCTTCTTCCCTCCTTTTCTCCTTCCTTCCTCTCTTTCCTTCTTCTTTCTTTTTTTATTTCTCAGCCAAACCTGGCTTTTCTCAACCGACATCTTCTTTCTTACATGAGATTTGCATATTAGGGAAAATCTCATATAAACATTTGCCCTAATATGCAAATCGTCTGAACCGTTCGACCCAGACCGGTTGAGCCATTGACCCAGAAACTGGTAGCTAGAACAGTTCCATTTCCGGATCAGTTTTTAAAACCTTGGATATGCATGGGAGTGGAAAGACTACCTTAGCGCAATTTGTTTTTAGTGTCGAGCAAGATTTGATGGAGTATTATCGGTAATGTGCCCAAGAATCTAACATAATTATTCTAACCAAAACATTAGTGGACTATTGTGCGGTTCCAACACCTAAAAATATGTACTTATTTCAAGCTGTGTTTTCAAACCACCATTGATCTGGACGGTCAAACCATTCGGCTTGAAAATTGGTCAAGGCATCGGTTCCATTTTAATGTTCAACCATTATTTTATTAATAATCACTGAATTGGTCAATAAACCGTTGACCCAAACAATTTGACCATTAAACCATTTGACATGGGCAACAATTTGCAGTACAATATGTTTTATTTAAAATTTTCAAAAAAAAATAAAATAACAAAAAAAACATAGAGAAACAAGATCGATCTTTGATCTGAGATCTAGAGAGAGTAAGAAATGAGAGAGATTTAGAGATCTGAGAAATCTTATGTTCAGAGATGAGATCTGTAAGAGAGATCTCAAATTACAGATCTACGAGAAAGAGATCTGTGAGAAATATGTCGCCGTCGTCGTTGCCGCTACATGTCACCCACACCTCTACTTCCTCCTCCTCTTCTTCTTCTCAACCTTCTTTTCTTTTCCCTTCTCTAAGCCGACAAGCGTCACAAACCCTCCTTTCACTCTCTTTCTCATGCCCCTTTGCCATAACATTTACATCCCATCATACCCTAATATTCCAGTCCAAAGGGTAGGATGAGATCATGAGATATATAACTGAAACGTTTGAACTGATTGACCTGGACAGTTGAACCAACCTAGAAACCGATGGTCAAAGCGATTTCATATCCGGGTTGATTTTTAGAACCTTGATTTCAAGTGTTCCAACAAGTGCTAAGCCCAATGTACAATTTCAAGCTTGGGGTGCACATATGTGGACTATTGGCCTGGACACATAACATGTGAGCTAAATGATTATTTGAATGTTCACCGGGCCCTAGTGGGATAACGATTTTCATTCTTTTTCCTTAATTTGCTTTCAAAATCAAGAACAACTTGGACCATCCACAACCATGCAATTTCAATTCATAACATGTTTCTATTATCTATTGACCCATTATTAAAAATGAGAATGATCAATGGCTATTCGTTGAACACCCTGATTTTTATTTTCAAGTTTATCCCTATTAATAATACAAAACAGTCAAACTAATACCCTGATTTTTATATCCAATTTTTCCTCTATTAATAATACAAAAAGCCAAACTAACATATACCCCATTATTTAAAAAAAAAATTAAAATAGAATGATCAACGGCTCTTTGTTGAACAGCCAAACTAACATATACCCCATTATATTTATTTAAATAAAAACTAAAAAAATGAAAATGATCAATTCTCTTGGTAGAACACCCCAATTTTTATTTACAAATCTACCCCTATTAATAATACAACTTTGAATGGGTTGACAGCCAATCTAGCAAATTCGTAAGTTTCTATTTTACCCTTATATACAAGAGAGACAAGTGCCCTAAAAAGATGAATCCATGGAACCCTAAAAAGATGAATCCATGGACATCCAAATTCTCCACATAATGGTTACCCTATTAAGGTAGTCATGATGTTGGTTAATTTTTTATCAAATATATTAATGTGGCTGAACAACTCTCATATTACTCTGTATTGTTTTCATGATATTAAATAGAATCAAATCATCATGATAAGTTCAAAATTTCTCCTTCAAGGATAAACTTAATTGATAAGCTGAATGGATGTATTTCCCCATTTTTATTAAAAATGTGATCATATTTTTAAAAATCCTCCAAATTTGAACCTAAATAGGGACGTAGTATGTTATAGCATTTGAATGCTATTTCATTTTCTTTGGATACACAATCAATTTAGAATCCAATATAAGAGTTCACTCAACAAAGTAGTTAGTTTATTTTCTTTTATTTTGTCTAAAATTCTAAATTGATTTAACTTGCACTCTCTTTTGGTTTCTCTTTTATGTTTAATTTTTTTTTGGTTAAATTGTTTTGGGTGTATAGCAGTTTATATGAAGAGAAATGTGATTATACAACCCTATAACTTGCAATTGAGATAGTGGTTCGACTCTTCACTTTTAAACAGCTTTGGGAAGACTACTATTTCTATTTTGACATGGTCGCTTTGGGCCAGTTTATAAGGATTGCTTTCAGATGGAAGGAACACCGCTATTAAATTCATAGATCAAACAAGAAAACAAGAAGAGGAATTTTTTCTTTTTTTTTTTTTTGGTAATGAAGAGGAGTTTAAATTAGAGAATGATCGAAGATATTTGAACTTACATTTATTATCGTTGCCGGGTTGTTTTTGTGTATTATATTTTTGGTACTTGAAAATCAATTCTTTTTTTTTAAATCACTTCAATTCAAATATGTTATTTTGAATAGGGGTGTTCATTATACGGTTTAAATCACAAAATTGAACCGAATCAAACTGAATTTGTAGTTTGGTTTGGTTTGGTTTGAGAATTTTCTAAATTATGATTTACAATTTTGGTTTGGTTTATTGAATTTTATAAACCGAACCAAACCGTAAATATATATATATATATGATATAAATGGAATACGTAAAATTATAAATATATAATGAACTCTTTATTTTATAATAAAATAATAAATAAAAGTTTTTAAGTTTTAATTTTTAGGGGAGCTATTTGGGCTTTCTAATTGGGTTAAGCCCAAAAGAACATAGAATGGCCCAAAGTCCCCAAACCGTAATAGAAACCACAATAAAACGGTTTGGTTCGGTTTAAAAATTTCTCAAAATGTAATT